GAGGAAGCAGTGACCACAAACACATTGGGGTGAGGAGCTCAGCACATCCAAGGACTAGAAAGGTCAGTGTGACTGAGGACTCTGAATAAGCAGAGCCTGGATAAATGGAGGCTGGGGACCTAGGTGGGACCAACTCACGGAAGATTCTAGAGGTCCCATTAAGACTGTCAGTGCTTCTAGGAGTTTAGCTCAGTGGCACAAGCACCTGGCCTGGCAAGCGTGAGGTCATGAGTTTGAACCCCAGTACCAAAAAAAAAAAAAAGATTATCAGTGCTTAGGACAACCGTTAATAGATTTGAAGCAGGGAAATGATGTAATCAGAGGGGTAAGATCAACCTGTCTCAATTGCTGTGTTGAAGTTCACATTTCCAAGGGACTTAGCAGAACTCAGAAACCTTCTTCCATCCCCTCACCAGGCCGTATGTATGTGTACACCAAGCTCTAAGAGCAAAGGGCATTCCAGTGTTCCAAGGAAAACAAACCCACAGATAACATTTCAGTAACAATCACTATTTGTGGAATGAATGAGTCACGGGAAGAATCTAGCTTCCTCAACAAGAAACAGAGCTTCTGAAATTTTTTATTTTGTTTTTTTGATGGTGCACCCTTGTAATCTCAGCACTCAGGGACTGAGGCAGGAGAATGATAAATTCAAGCCAGCCTGGGCAAGCAGGTGACTTAGCAAGACCAGTTTCAGAATTTCAACCCCTACATTTGGGAGCTTCTGTTGCCAAACACTATGGGATACAGGCTTGTCCCAGAAGAGGCAATAGCCAGGAGGCAGGTCCCACAAAGCCACCTTGAGTTCTGGGGGCTGCTAGAGGCTGAAGATGAGGGAAACTGACTACAACTCTCAGTGTGACACACCAAGCATATTTGGTAATCAAGTAGGATGTGGTGACAAACACAGCTCCCCAGCCCCAGAATCACTTGGCCTTCGTAAGCGGGAGAGTAGAAAGGGAGATGGAGTAAGTTTCAAACCCCAGTTCCCACACTTACAGATGTGTGCATTCAGGAAAACTGCCCCTCTACTGCAGCCTCAGTTTCCTGGTATGTAAAGTGAATCTCATAATTGGGTTTACCTTGTGGGACTGATCTGAAGAGTAAATGATATAACTCACAGAAAGGTACTTAGAGATGATGCCCTCCTGGGGTACAGTAAGACCCTGATAGTTGTTAACTATTATAACTAAGGGTCATTAAGAGCAGAGTTAGGAACCTGTGTGTTTCACTAGCTACCTAAGAGATTCTGAAGATCACTCATTGATGTTTTATCTTCTGTTTGTGGAGTATCAATACACCAGGCCCTGAGCTAAGCCTTTTATGTGCTTTGTCTCACCGAGTCACATTTGGTAGCACAAAGGGCTCTTATCTCATCTTACAGATGAGGAAACCAAGAACCAGCATGGTTCAGCGGTCCAGTTGGTGTTTCAGCTCCTGGCCTACGGTCAGATCTTGAAGTTATGGATCCTCATTAATAACAGTGGGAACCTGTGTGCCCCATCTTAGCACCTGTGTCACTTTAGTACATTTGTAGGTGGCTACTTGTTCCCCAAGCCACACTGGGGAGAAGCAGACCTCATATTCATGCCCTCCAGGGGCACGAAGGAGATAGCCCAACACTCAGAGTCAGGACTCATCCTGCCGCCTGCTGCTCTGGGACAGGGCCTCAGTATAAGGGGTTAAAACCTCTTGCTTCTGATCAACAAGTCTTCCTGTTGTGTAGGTAAGGACATCAGTGTTTGCAGAGCAAATCACCACAATGACCCTGGAAGTCAGGCTGCACATGAGGGTCAAGTCCAACTTTGGAGGTGACGAAGCGGGTACATTTGTGGGATAAATGAATGAATATGATCCCTTTAAAAAGTGGGCCATCTTATCTCAGAAATTCAGGGGGTAAAATTTCATAATGATTACAACACTCATCTGGACACACAGATGCAAGACTTAGGGGCGCTCCTTACAGAAGACACCTAGAAACAGCCCTACACACCGCCAAGTGTCCTCTACTCCTCAAGGAGCCTTCAACATGTGTGCAGGGTAGGAATTCTATGGTGTGATGTATTCTTCCCTGTTGTCTGCCTGCTGCCCCTCCTCCTCCTGACACTTATGCCATCAAGGTTCATCTTACAGATTTTGTATTAGCACGAAGGTCCATTATGAAGCTCAAAGCCATTCTGAGTGAGCATCGGGGGAGTAGACTGGCTGTGTTCTTCCAGGGACAGCACAGCTGCCTCTGAACCCCGGGCAGAGGCACCGCTATACAGCAAGGGTGGTGGGGGAGTGGTGCTTATCCCTGGGGTAACATTTACCAAAGGAAGGAAGGTGAAATCCCCACTGGACTCACTGGAAGCAGTTACTCGTACTGTCAGATAATTAGGAACAAAGACAGAGATAGGGAAATAGCCAGGCAGGGTTGTGATCAGCTCTTCCATGAGGACAAAGAAATGGACCACTGGGCAGTTTTCGGTGGCAACACATACGGAAATTTCCAGGGAGCACAGGAGGAGCCAACTCCCTGTGAAGCCAGAGGGCAACGTTTCTGTCCCTCTTTTTACTGTCTGTGGAACACAATGCTGTGCAGTCCCAATGGTCCTCTGCCTACTAGGAGGCACAGTGAGGGTCTCAGAAAACATCTTAGCCTTACATTGTCAAGAATGTATCTGAGAATGAAACCGGTGAAAAGATTATTTCAAAGAGCCAAAGACTAGAATCAAGCATGGTAGCACTTGCCTATAATCCTAGCACTCCAGAGGCTGAGGCAGGAGGAACTGTAAGTTCAAGGTCAGTGTGAATTACAGAGTGAGTTTGAGAACAGCTTGAATTGTATAGTGAGAGTCTGTCTGAAAAAAAAACAAAATCAATTTTTTTAAAAAACAGCAGAAATGTAAAACTTTGTTAGCCTGAAAATGGTAAAAAAAAAAAAAAAAAAAAAAAAAAAAACGAATCAAATTCTCCCATCCATTTCTTTAGCATGATAAAAAAAAAAACGAGTTTTTAAAAAACGCATGTTATTTTTCTTTTAACAAATTCAGTGAGGCTCAAGCAATAGAAATTAGGAAGAATCTTCTTATCATCTCCCTTAACACCCATATCTCCTGAGAGGACAAGAGTTGCCCCTTACATCATAATTGCTCAATAAACTATGAATGTTTTCTTCCAAATAAGAGATCTTTCAAGACTCAAACTCAACCTCAGTAGCAAGGTAAAAAGACCAAAAGTTCTAAGAACATCTAGGGCTGAATGAGAATCACTTTCAAGTCATGCAAGCAGACACAAATTACCTGAACTTTCTGAGCTTCAATTGTTCATCTGTGAAATGGGAGGAAGTCTCTTTCATACGGGTTGCTAAGAGATTTTAAAGATATGACTTATGTAAAACACTTAGCACAATTCCTGTTTTATAAAGCTTAATAAAATTCCCCCAAGGTCCTACTCCCTTTATGTAGATTTAGTCTTAAAGAAAAAAGAAGAAATCTGAGGAACTTCTCTGCCAAGTAAAAGAAACTAAGAAAGTGTGAAGTCATTTCTTCTGTAAGCAAAAGTTCTGAGTATTAAGAGCACTCCTTTGACCCACCCAAAGCAGAGTAGAGTCCCTCCTCCTGCGATCACAAGCCATAGCCTTTGGACCAACAGTTGTAATATTATCTTCGCTTGCTTACTTCTTTTTAACATCCCTTAGTTCACAAAGTTCAGAATATAACCAGGAGTAGTGGGTACCGTCTTCATAGGTATTTATTCAGTCCTCAACACAGGGTCTGACAGTTGCTTGATTAATCAATCAACAGATTTACAGTTAATTAATTAATCAATCTATTAACATTTATTATTAGTTAAGGGACAAAAAACATATCATAACAAATATGGATCAAAACTTGAAAAAATATTTGTAATTGGATTGGAGAATGGGAGGCAATAGTAAAAGATGCATTAAAGAGTATGAAATTTCCTAACCTTAGGAAGGAAGAACTCTCTTCTCTAAAACATCAACAAAGCAGTTTTAGGAAATACTTTCTAACTGCAAAAATAATGGCTTATGAAATTTATAATATGACATATATTTCCAGACAACAGAGAAGTTAAAAGGAACATTTATTTATATATATACAAATATATACATACAAATATATATAGTGTATAGAAAATATCCCCTTAAAAATAAGGAGAAAGTAAATGAAAGAAAATGAAACACAATAATTACACACACACACACACACACATATATATAATAAAATCTAATTGTTTAGCCAAAATAATTAAGTAAAACACAAACACAAAAATAAAGGAATAGAGGAAGCAATATTATGTAAATGTACACAGACATAAAGCATCACTCCAATATTATATCAAATAATACTGAATACCAGGGAAATGCAAGAGAAATTCTCACCTTAAACAAACAAACTGTGCAATCACGTTGATTTTAATGCAATAAAGGCTAGAAAGTAGATAATATAACCCATAGTGAACAAAAGATTAGGTCACTGAAAGTATCAGAAATACTAAAACTCTGAATAAGATGAGACTTTAGGGAGAAGGTGCGAGTGAATAAGCTAGACAAAAGCATGGCTTTTAAGGCGCCTTCCCAGCAAAAAGACGACCAACAAAATGATAGGCACCAGACTAACAAGTGAGATGGTATAGTGCCATCTTAAAATAGAATTCTTAAAATAGAATTCCTCAGTTAGTTCTGTGGCTCCTTTATTTTATTAAAATGTTCTTCCAATAGAAAATGGGAGAAAAAATGATTGCCCAGATGGAATTTGTGTATTGATAAGTAAAATGACATTATGAAAGTTCATAGTTACATGAAATTCATTCATTCATCCATTCAACACACTTTTACTTAGGGCCTAATATGTCAAGGTCCCCTCTTCCTGGAGGTGATAGTTCAGTAGAAGAGATGACATCTCAAATAATCATATATTTATATCATTACAAATTGTAAAAACAAGTTCAAAAAGTGGAAAGGGTGAAGTCAGATTGTATTGAGAACTCACTTTTAGCTAGGGGTACAGTAACAAGTGCGAAGGAATCTCCTCTTGAGAAGTCAAGCCACATCCACGTGCATCATCCAGCTAGGTAACCGTGCTGAGGGACTGAAAGAACAGACTTGTAAATATAGATGCAGCCAATAACCCTGAAAGATACACAGAGAATACACAAAGTGAGAGACAGGGCAATGTACCTACTTCCAAAAGTGGGGAAATACAGAATCTGGGAACTACAGTCCAGACAGAAATCTATGAGAATGAGAAAAGGAAGCAGCCTAGCTAAGCAACCAAAACCAGAAACCTGTCGTGTGAAGCTCACACAGGCACCTGCCGCTTCCTCTCTCACTCTGTCCAGCTGTCCAGCACGCCCTCCCCCCCTGCCATCAGAGAAGATACCTCCAAAGACTTGCGGGTGAGCCTGGTATGTCTGAAGGACTTCAGAATGACTCAGCATCGAAACTCTTCACTCACGACTACTTTCCGTTTTTTGTCTGTGTCTTCTCTTTGGCTAAAGGAATTTTCAAATCTGCGCTTGGGGAAGGAACAATATCATTCCTTTCCAAGGACTCTGTTTCCATCAAAAGCCTTCTGCCATGTTGCAACTGTGACTCACATCCTCTCTTACCTCATGGAAAAGTGGAGAGGACGAGAACCACACGGTGGTATAATTCCTGCTGGTCTAAGTTAAAACTGCGTGATAGTCTCTAAACCCATAGATTCATTCAATTCATTCCTATATATATAGCACAGGACATAAAGGTATATATATATAATACTGTATAGTTTATGTATGTATTAGCTCTGAAAAATCCTAGCTAGTACTATATTTTATATATTATTCTATATAAAACTTTCTCAATCAGCATTGTCCAATAGAAATATAATGCAAACCATGTACACATTTTTTAACCTTCCAGCATCCACATATTTTAATTTTGTTTGCTTTTTTTAGATGAAATCACTCTACATAGTTCAGGCTGGCTTTGAATTCACTGTGTAGCCCAGGCTGGTCTTGAATTCGGGTGATACTCTTGCCGCAGTCTCCCGAGTGCTGGGATAGCAGGTGTATACCACCATGTTTAACGTAGCCATATATTTTTAAAAGGTGATATTAATTTTAATATGTTTTATTTAATTTGATATATGAAAAATATCACTTCAATGTTAACAAAGAATATTAATAAAATATTTAGCAACCTTTATTTTCTAAATTGTCCAAGTCCAGTGTGAATATTACTCTAAACACCACATCTCGGCTTGGCCTGGCCACCGTTCAAATGCTCAGTAGCCACCTGTGGCTACAGACTGTCATACTAGACAGCATAGCTCTAAACAGTAACTTACTTTTATATTCTAGAAAACTCTACATGTCAAATGCAGTGATATTTTTATTTTTTAAAGAGCAGAATATATTTATTGAGAGAAAGAAAGCTTCTATCTGAATGACAGAAGGGGTCCCAAGTGGGTCTGTGTTTTTTCGGGACTTTCATAGAGCAAAACCACAAAATGAGACAGATCTAAGGTGGAAAAAACATGAGAACTCACTAGGTGGGCATAAGGTGGGACAGAACTATGGTCAGCAGATAAGATTAATTATTCAGGTAAAACTGACTAAATTGGGGACAAATGGGGGAGCGAGTCATGTAGGAAGATGGGGGAGATGCTTAAAAGCAGTGGCACTTCTCGTAGGGGGTTGCAGTGATGACTCCTGGCTTCCTCAGGGTGATAGAGATTTATTTAGAATATCAATCCTTGGGCCATGTGTATACTTGCTTGATTTTTTATCTTGAGGCCTGGCCCACAATTGGAGGTTTCTGTTTCCCCACAGTTGCAAGATATCTGGCCTTCTGCACTGGCTCCTTTGAGGACCCAGCCCGGTCTGGCTGCCTGTAATATTTCTAGCTAACTCAGCTGCCTGTAACAATCCACCTTCTTCAAATCTCATACTGACAATCAGATCCCTAGGAAAACATGGGTCCTCTCAGCAGGACAAAGCCCTTGCTACCTGGTGTCAACTCTGGCAGTGAACCTCACTGAGCAATCCAGGGGATCTCCTGACATGGTGGAGTCATGCAACTGTGGCCGTCAGGGACTCAGGGTCCCTTGGCAAAAAACAGCCTCCATGAATACCGCATTGGTGCAAAGAAATTTCCAGATTACTAATTTTTCTGGGGTAATAACTTGCAAGTAACAGTCAAGAAGCAATTTTCACTCACAGAATACATATATAGTCATCGCCAGCTGATAAGGCATTTGTTTAAGATTCATAAGATTGAGCATTAAATTTTACAAGCAGAAAAACGGTGGCAATGTAGAGTTTCAAGTGTTTCTGTTTTATTTAAAATGAGTATCACTGCACTAAGTCAAAAGGAAGTTTGATTGCAGCACCAAATTGTTTTACATCACTTAGTTCTAAATCAGTGGCAGAAATATAAACCAGTATTAATATGAGCCATATATATTAGTTCATAGGCATTATCCCGTGAGTGTGTGTGTGTGTGTGTGTGTGTGTGTGCGCGCGCGCGCATGTGTGTGCGTGCACTCTGGGTATCTTGGAGGGATACATTGTAAAATCTCCCATTAATATCAAAATCCATAAAAATGATGTAGTATTTACATATAACCTCTGCATATCCTCCCTTCTACTTTAAATTATCTCTAGATTATTTATAGTAGCTAATATAATGAAAATGTTATGTCAATAGTTGTTGTACTGCATTGTTTTGGGAATAATGATGAGAAAAAAATCTGCATGTGTTTGGTATAAATGCAAATTCCTTGCCTGAATGTTCTCAATCCTACAACTGTTTGATTAGCACATGCAGATTCTGAGGGTACAAGGGCCGACTATGTATTTACGCAGACACACACACACAGGAGGTATACAACACAGAGGGAAGAAATATTCATGAGCTCATTAACATATATACACATAACTGGTCATTCATACTCCACCCCACCCCCACTCCTACCCCCTCACCCCACCCCCACCCAACCCCCCTCAGTGTTCAAACAGCAGCCTTGGCAACCAAACAACTTAAAAGTAGGTGAAATCTCACTGTCAATAATACCAAGTTTTCAATTCTCTTCCTGGGGAAATGGGCAGCATTATAGTCATAAAAAAAAAAAAAAAAACCTGTCTTCTCTGTTACTATTTCTCTATCACTTGTCACAGGAGTACTTAGATATTTTGACAAGGGTGCTATTTCAGTATGAACTCTTAAAAGAGAAAAAATACGATGAAAACATCTAAAGACATTACTAATTTCCTTGCACTGAATTTATTTCCTTTTTGGTATTTTGCTGTGTACACAGAAAAATCTCAATGCAGAAGAAATTCAACATCTCCACTCCCTCCAAAAGATTATATATTTCTCCTAGTGGCTTGATTTGTTAAAAAAAAAAAAAAAAACAAAACAGGATCAAATGTTAAAGATTCAGTGTGAGAGCATCATTCACTAAGTCTTTTTGAATAAAATTATATGTAATAAATGTAGCATCTGAATTTAAAATGATGCCTAGGAATACAGGACACCCACCAGCTCTCAGAACAGCTAGCACCACAATCATAGATTGCCCCATTAATATCTATGCTTTTCCTTTTGAGCTAAACATCTAGTTGCATATGTGTAACAGACAACACACACACACACACACACACACACACACACACACACACCTTTTAAGGGATACTTTTTGAAAGGTCCTTTTGCCTGAGGCTGAGCCAGGAAATAGAGAGGAATTGGTCAGTGAACAACAGCCCATGACACCAGACACACATTGTAGGTTTCAGGGTATTGATCTCAGGAAAATCACGTCAGAGAGGAGGAATAAAATACGATTAATGAGAGGCAAAAAGAGATAGATTTAATACCCCCAAAGTTAAATCTGAGTGGCTTACCATAATGGTATAAATGGCAAGCTACAGAAATGAGTAGCTATCAGGACAGAATGAATTAGAATAAGACTTTGAGCCGGATGAATTAACAATAGCCAATCTCAGTGCTCATCCGATGGACACAACTAACTGATCTACCACTGTGTGCTTCCAGGCCGGCTTAGACTTGCTTTGTACTTGACGGTATGCCTTTTAAAGCTGCATTTCTCAAACTTTTTTACTGACCACAGATTCCCCCGGGGCATCTTGTAAAACAGAGAATCTGGTGGTTCTGGCTCGGTAGGTGTGGCTCAGGGGGAGACTGCATTTCTAATGAGCTCTCCTGGGCCACATTGATGCTACACTTTGGTGGCAAGGAATTAGGGCAGACCCACTTTGTACCTCAAAAGTGACTACAGTGGTGATGCCTTTCATCGCTTCTGTCTGTGCTCTACATAACTCTAAAGCTTTTTAAAGGAATTTTTAATCCATCCACTATGGGACTCATACACAGTAAAGAGTGCTGTGCAACAGTACTTGGACAAGCTCAAAGATCACTGCCTGGCAGAAACAGTGTGTCCTCAAGGAGGTTATAGTCTAGAGAAAATGTGGAAGGAACTCTTTGAACTCCTTCATGACTTGGGAGTGGCCAGATACACGAGTCATGATATAAAGATAGTTAAAAGAAGCTTGCGTGAATCTTGATAACAGAGTCAACTTTTTAAAGAGGTTTGGCTCCAAGTTTTTTCTTAACAGCAACTTCAAGAAGAAAGCAAAATAAGAACAAAAAACTCCAGGAGCAATGATAATCAGGGATCCTGAGTGAAAGGCCACACACCTAACACTAATGCATCAGACTGAAAAATTTTGTTGCCAATGTTAACAATAGAATTTAAGGGAAAATATTCTTCTTATAAACAACAATGCTTATTTTACTCTAGTATTTATTGTTATACAGTCAAGTGGTATAAATGGAAATCTGGAGAAATGTACCATTAACAGGTGAATTAGCACCTGATAAGTACTCTAAACATAATCTTGTTTATGCTTCGCAACAAGTTTATGTAGTAGGTACTGCTGTTAACCCATTTTACAGATGAGGAAACCTGTTTTAACCTGATTAAGTAACCTGTCACAGGTTATATAGCTAGCAAGAAATAAGCTAGAATTCCAAAGAATGGCTTCTTATTTTCATAAGAAGTTTGGTTTCAATCATACAAACCTAAACGAATTTCAGGGTATTTATGAAACTCCAGTGATATAAGAGATTTGGAAGTGATTAGAAAAATCTGTTATCAATGTGAGAGAGAGAGAGAGAGAGAGAGAGGAGAGACTAGCAAATAGAGATGTTTCATAAACTACAGAGGATAAGGTTAGTTATTGGTGTGATGGCATGATTTATTATTACTAGTTACAAGATTGCAAAACCTAGTCAAGGCTGCAAACATCAATCAATACATCGTCCAGCATCAGCAGATTTTGCAAAGACCTCTTTGAAGTCAAAATTTAAACTTCTCTTGGCCTTTTTATTATCCTGTGCTAATTCCTATAAATATAGCCTAGTTGTAAGGAAGATTTCCCTGTTTCCCACCAAGTACAAATAGAATCCTTTCCCCTTCTCTCTCTCCTTCTCTCTTTCTCCACCTCTTCCCGTCTCTCTCTTTCTCTACACAAATTCACATACAATTAAATCTAAGCCTTACCTTATTCTCA